CCAAAAAGAAAATATGAATTTCGGCATGCACCCGGTTTGGAGTTCGTGTGAACTAGCAAAACAATGTTCTTGGTGCAAAGCACGAAAAAAACACAGAGAATTAACTCCCGAAACTCTATAAGCTATCACAGGCCTGCAGCCTATCCTTACACGCGCTAGCGCGGCAAAACTCTACACTTCCCTATAGACGACACGTTCGTTAGCACAAACGGAGACCTAGCAGCAGCGTCATGCAACTCTAAGGCGGGTTATTGGTCTACTCATAACTTGTTACAATAACAAAAGTTACCGAACTTAGCCCGCTCTCCGTAAGCTCGTCGCAGCTTCTTCCTCCCTTCTCTCTCTGCCCGTGTTTTCACACACACGGCACCACCGGAAGACAGCGCAATATTCATGAACCATTTCAAAATAAAGGTCTTTGCGCAACAGAATTTGTAGGACCCCTACATATATATATACTGGCAGTATGGAAAATGATTATTTGGAAATGATGAAAATGGAAATGATTATTTACAGTGAGGTGAGGGTGGTTGGGGTATGGACAATGATTGTGCTTTTTTAACGTTGAGGTACGGCCAGTGATTATGGTTTAGGGGGCACATCATTGGTTTTTATTTAAAAACAACAGTTTCTCCACTGTGGCAGGTCTTAGGCGATTTCTTTCTTTTGAAAATCCGAACCACTTCCTGAATCAGTCACGTGATACAGCCGGGCAGCGAGGGTTCGGACTTCATCATGTTCAGCTCCTCCCCTAAATGACGCAGGCCTCGATACGCGCATCGCGGAAACGCCCCCTCCCCTACTCGGCACACGCTTCGAAGCCTCGATACGGAATGACACATCATTAGTCTTGTGTTTTGCAGGCACTGAGGCTACAGACATCAATTTAGGTTACCTTGTTAGGCGGGTGCTTTGCTGAGTATATATGTGTGTAACCTCCTTAGAGTACATGTGGGAGTGTGGAGTCTAGTGTGATCAATGATAATGAACTGTATTTCCTTGGCATTGCCAGGTTGATGGAGGAGAGAAGCCAGTGGGAATAGAGTGGATGGTCACAGCTCTTTTATCTCTCTGTTTCTTTGTCTTTGCCTCTCTGGGGCTACACTTACATTTTCATAAAGCCTCTGTGGGCTTCCTGGTGAGGGGGACTAAACCCTAACGCATTTTTTGCAGAGTAAAAACTCTTGGATTTTGAACATATCCTCAGTGCCTGCTGTGGAAAGTGACACTGCCCCTCATTTATTATACATTCTTAGAAGTAATGTTTGTTCTTCATCTACCAAATAAGTACACCACAACATTAAACTCACCAAGTGGGTTTAATGTTGTGACCCTGACCAGTCTGTGGCTACACTGCCCCATACACAGCAAACTGCTAAGCACTGTGGCTATGATCAAAAGGCTTTAGAACCTACAGTGCATCGTGTCTTGCTGCATATGGGACTGTGTAGCCTCATACCAGCCAGAGCCACATTAAAACCACCTGATGGATTTTAATGCTATGGTTGATCAGTGTATGAACGCATACAAGTATAACAGTTAACATAAAAAGTGCACCATTGTTGGACAGAAATGAAAATAACACTTTGCACAACTTCAATTATTTTCCTCCTCTAGGCCTGCAGTGATCACCTATGGTATGTGGGACCAAGTGTGAGTAGACCATGGAAAGGAGTTTTACTTGACACTGTTCATGCAGGAGATGCTGTCACACCATCGCTTCAATCAGGAGAGACTGCCTTATCTACAGACTTCATCTACAAGAGTAGGATTTCTGCACTATCAACAAAAGAAACTGAAATTCTTTCCAATTTATACTTAATAAATTTAAGCTGTGTTTTGTTAAATCAGAACAACACAGTCTAACGACTTTGGCCTGAGATCAACAACTGTGTCAACTACCCCTTGAAAACAGCCCTTCTCGAGCTGATGGACCAAGAGGAGATCGATATGGAGGACAACTTGTAAGATACTGTGTCAAACCTAACTTGTAGGCTGTGCCACATTGGTCTTACAAGCGTGGCAGAATCCTGGAATGCTCATAGATTCCAGGTAAAATGTATAGTAGGCAGTATAAATTGAGCACATTGGTAACTATCACGTAAAAATTTTTTTATACACATACTTGTTCTTATGTTAACAGGAAAAGGCATACCAAATCACTTTGCAGAACCTGGGTGTAAACGAAGAATTACATCAGAACTCTTGCCACATTCACTTGGAGCTGCAGACCTTTACAGACAGCATGTAGGATCTGCACTGACAGCATACTCCACATTTGGAGTTGATCCCTTTACAACAGAACAAGTTAAGAATAGAACGGAGAATCATTTTTCAGACAAATATCCGGACATCTCACCTTTGTTTTATAGAGCAGTAAACAATGACTTTGCTCCATACAAAGAAGCCTTGCTTTATCTGATACACACAACTCAGAGAAATGCATGAACTGGTGCATTTGCAAGCCCATAACATACTGAACTGAACCACAATACATAACTGCAAGGGTTTGCCTTTCTGTGAGTAATGAAAATATTACTCTTCAATGAAAAAGGATTTCAAAACTGATAAAGCAGCAGTTAGACCTGCAACTTCTATTGCACTGTTGTTGACTTTACATTGTGCAGTGTGAAGAAGCCTCCTTCCACTGCTCCACACATGTCTTGCAGCCAATAATGGTTCTGCAGCACAGTGACAGCACTGGCTCTTCAATGATATCTGCAAAAGTAACGTAACAGAAGACCGTTTTGTTCAGAGGATATGTTTTCTTTTCTCAAAGTCTACTTGTATGCTGATGCATATTTGGTCATTCTACATATTTATATTGATTTGCAAGCGTTCATGTAGTAACTGTTTGATTGTAAGCAAAAGATGAATAAATCAGGTCCTCTCTACACAAAGGCTCTTTTGAATTTAATATCCTAATCGAGGCTTAAGCAGTCTATTCGCTATATACGTCTTTGCTGCTGAGTGGTCTGGGGATAGTATATACAGTGCTGTGAAAAAGTATTTGCCCCATTTCTTGATTCAAGAGGTCTGGCAATAATCAGGCCTGGTGCAGCAAGTGAAATTTAACTCAGCTTTCCAAAAAATGTGATTAATCACAGTTCATTCAGGATTTAGCAAGTGATTTACCAATTTTCACATAGGGCCAGGCAGGAATGTACCGCTATTTTCCCCTTAATAAATGAAATCATTTAAAAACTGCATTTTGTATTTACTGAGGTTATCTTTGTGTAATATAAAAAATTGTTTGATTTGAATCATTTAAGTGTGACAAATATGCAAAAAATATATAAGGAAGGGGGCAAAAACTTTTTCAAAGTACTGTACTCCAGAAAGACAAGAAATATAAAAGTTGTATTAAAAAGGATGGATTTCCACTTGATTCAACTAAACCATATGCCTGAAGTCTCATTAATACTCTATGTGCAACAATGAATCTCTAAACTGAAAATGATAAGTAAAGGGCCACAGTGTTAAAAGATTAATTTGGCTAAAATATGCCTTGAATGTAATGAAGTAAATAGTTTAAATCTGTTTAGATGGTTTAGATGGTCCTTGAGAGTCCTCTGCCCTACACATTTTAGTGTTTTCCCTCCTCCCTGCACAACTGATCAGGTAATTAACTTCCTTCTCTGAACAGAAGTAGGTGTGGTAGAGCAAGGAAAAACACAAATGTATTGGGCAGGGGGTTCTCCAGGACTAGGCTTGCTAACCTTAAGCTCCTTTTCCACTGCACATTACTGGCTCAACTCTACTCACATTTATGGTTTTCCATATAGCAAAACTTGTAAATAGTACCTTGTATGAACTACTCATGTTAAAATGTCAAGAAACATTCACATAATTCACAACTGGAATCCCTCTATTACATGCAGCATCACTATGGCTACCCCTACAATAATTGGATAGCATAGAGTATCTGCAGCAGAAACAGGAGCGCTTCGAGAAGTGTTGAGCCGATATTATTTGGTGGAAAGAGGGCTATAGTATCCCAGTTTTGTACATACTTCTACAAACCACACAGCTAAATCCTTCCTTGATGGTCTGTAACTTGGGGGCAGTGAGCAAGACTCTCTGGGTAGCAGCAAGATCAGTGAGCTCTTTGATTGCCACTGTAACAGCTGGCAGATTTTGAGATGCCATCACCAGCTCTTCTATTTTGTCACTGACTTCTCCCAAGCCAGCTGTATCATCATCTTTACGGCAGCTACAAGCACAAAACATGAGCAATATGGTAAAAATCATCTGTTTATGGGTAGTGACTGACACATAAATTACTGTATATTACTATTGTAAGACAAATCCTACATAACAGTTCTTCTTGAGACTGTAATCTTAAAACGTACATTTTTGCAGTTTCTTGCACTTAATAATGTTGATAATTTGAATGCATACCTCAGTCTCTTCCTCTTTGTTCCCTGGAAGCTATTAAAATCTTGTTCTGGTACAGCAAGAACTTTTCGAGCATTTTGTTTCCAGTACTGTGACCCTAGGGATGAAAAATTTCATCTACTGAAATTTATAATACTATATTCTATAATACTGACATTTAAAAAAGGTAAACTGTTCATAAGCAAATGCCTAAAACAAGACTAAATTTTACAAATCTCTTTATATGACAGGTGTTGCACCATCCTTTTGTAACAACCTATGTAATATTTATTTATTTAAATAAAGGTTTCTGTGACTCACCTGTTGTACCTTCTGACTCAAGAATGGCATTGCCCTGTGCATCTGTCAAAATTATAGGGTTGTAATTGCCAATGGCATCTTGCACTTTTCCCACTATCCCCTGAAGGGAAGTTTCACACTCCAGGAAGCGTACCACCGCCATTCTATTGGGAATCAACCTCCCACCAACCACCTCAGCAAGGTAAACTGATCTAAAAGACAAAACATAATTTCACAATTATTGCAACAGTAGTTTTATTATTCTTTCTAACTATTCACATTAGCTATCCACGCACTGTCCTATAGATTATTTATTGCAATATGTCCCTAATATTAATATAGTGCAAAAGCACCAAGCCATCCCAAAATTCCGTCTATAGTGGTATTTGCTCAAAAATAAATAAATTTTGGTTTTATCATATTTCCTTGCCTGCCTAGAACAGAACATCATATGAACTTCATGTCATAAATTTACAAACTCTTCATAAAACAAAAGCTTGACTATTTCCTAAAACCTCTTTGATCGATGAAGCGGTGTGCCATCTTTCATCACCAAACTCAAGTAGTCCCTGCCTCTCAACAAGAACTCTGCACTTTGGACCCAAAGGAGCTTTAAACCCTTTGGCATGGGGATTGCGGCTGTTCATCATGTCAAAGAGCCTGCTGATTATCTTAAAAAGCAAACGGCTGCATTAATAGAATCATAATAAACATGTTTCAATGTATGCACAAAACTGTGGACATGAGTCTGTCTGAAAGAGTGACAGAGTTTGGGAGGTGGAGGAACTGAATGGGTTTGAATATAACCAGTGTCATGATGCTCACAGCTGTTTGAGTTATAGCTAGAAATTAATACTCACAACATTGAACTGTTGAACAGAAGAGTCCACTGAATACTCCATCGTCAGGCTCTGTGGAGCCTTCATTGATGTTTGAGATGGCCTGGTAACCACAGGCTAAAGTGAAGGATCAAATATTGAGATGATATCTCAGTGTAATACGAAATACATCATTGATTCCTTCACATTCAGACAGAAAAAAAACGTTTTCAGCATGTGGCACTGACTTCTCTAATCCTTACAGCCTGGTACACCTTACCTTTTGGAGGTGAGCTGGGAAACAGAAGACAGAAGGAATAACTATTTATGAACCTAACTGTCTGACCTGTCCTGTCCTGTCCTGTCCTGTCGAAGTCCTCCTGTCTGAAATGTTCACTGCAGAGCACAGTTGACGAGCTAGCAGAAAACCTTTCCCTTCTGAGAGCCGTTTCCCATTGCTTTCGTAGCCCTTTATCTTTGGGAAACCTACACAGTATGAAAACACGTGGATAAGTAAGATAACTAACACTAATCAGAGTAATTACAGGGCGGGAGACATAGCTAAAAAAGACTGCCTTGCTTATTTGGACGCTGGATTCACCGCGGGACTTCACAGTATTATCCACAAAGTAAGCACATTCCGTTCTCAAAATGATGTTATAATGACCAAATACAATAAAAAAAATAGTTAAGTCTTACTTGTGAAAGGTAATCCCATTGGATCTGGTTTCTGCTGTCGAACGTTTGGAACAACCCCAAGCAGCACATGATTTAGGCATCCTACTTTTTGCCATTTCCAATATGGCGCCTACGGTGACGTCTGATTCAAGGCTCAACGCGGCATCTATGTATATGAGTAGCGCCACGAGGACTGCACGTTGTCACAAATGACAGAAGAAAAGATACTTCCTGTTTTAGACAAGGAAAATGCAGCAGTTTTTCCATTTCTACGCTATAGAACTTTATTTATTTAAAGTATAAATGAGGAAAGAAAATCAAGTCTAATTTTAAAAAGGTGTCTGACATTTTCATCACATCATTAAAAACAGATTTATTACTTACTTTGTTTATGGATTTTAAAATAAAAGTCCAATATTATTTAAATTTTTGTTTTTTGTTTCCATTTATAACAATAAACTTCAAATACCAAAAAGTACACGGACCTAGAAAGTATGTTATTGTCCCATACATTTGGCCTTCTAATTCACTGTCAATGCATTCTGCATTTGATGCTGAAAAAAAATGAACATGTGCAAGCACTACACACCAACATACCCATATGCATTTGTTGTTGTAATAGGCAAAGATGAGTAACAACACCTACTCAAACTGGCTGCACTTTTCCTCACAACTCTTGCCATTGTAAAGGAAGGAGCAGGCAGGTAATAGCGACAAATTTAGGGGCTTAAACAGCGACAGCTTTACGATGCCTGAGCGGCCTCTATGACTCCATTCCTGTCAGATTCTATTAGCTTGGCCTCCACCGTGTGTTTCGATTGGTTCTTGGCCTATTCCCAGCGGTTACAGAAGCACCTCCCGTAAATAAACCAAATGGCTGCATCTTGTAGTGTATGAAGAGGGGGGGCTCTGGCTTGCTGGGCATCTGTGTGTAAAGAACATCTGACAGAGTGGTTGAATGGTTTAATATACAGCACGGAGCTGAACAGACACAGTCGACTAGAGGGAGAGCTCGACACACATCAGTGTAAGAGTTTAAATTTGACTAGTTTTTAAGAAGAATACAACCAGCCATGCGAGGAAAGCACTTTTAAATCAAGACAAGTGACCTCATTCCACTCCACACACACACACACACTCCTATAAACAAAAGAAAAAGTGTGCCCATCTGCCAGCTGCCAGGTGGAAGTCAAAGGAAAGGCCACCTGTCTAATAACCGTTTTTGATGCATACAGCAATATGAAACAGAGCAGCTGGCCTGTCCCCTCCATACTGATCTTGTTACCAGCATGAGTAACACCGTTCCTCTTCCATTGAATTTATTTAGGTGGTTCTCATAAATAGGTTTTCCCCTACCAAAAAAAAAAAGAAAACATCTTGTGTTCATTAATTCAACCAATCAGGGCTTGTGATTACTTGCTCACTTTGAGTCTGAGAATATATTGGCTGTTGTCCACCAAAACCAAGAATCATTTGAATTTCTTCCAAAACAAGCTCTTTGTAATCCAAATAACCCACGAGTACAACAAAATGGATTTGTAAACTCTTGTAACAATAATGAAAATGCAGTGCTTGACATGCTGCAGCTAAATTAGTTTTTATGGCTTTGAAATGGCCTTTGTAAAACAGTTGAAAATAATACCTTAATAAACACACTGGACTGTAGCAAAGCATGATGAAAAAGGGCGGCCGGCAGCACTGCTGGCACTGTGAAATGGCAGCTACATGTTACTGTGAACATTTGTGAAAAGTCAAAACTTATACAGGAATACTGAAGTTATTCCATTTGGGCATTCTGTACATGGTTGCATGTGTTTGTTAGGTGCATATATTTATATGTCCATCACATCTGCTTATACACATAGTTTCTGTATCTTTCAGCAGACATTTTAATTTGCCACAGTAGGAAAGCCACAGGTGTAATTAATAAATCAGTTTTAACACAATTCCAATGTACCCATAAAAAAACTGTGGAAATACCCTAACTTTTTGAAGTATCACTGAGAGGTTTCTACAATCAGCTGAGGTGAACAGTTGCTGTATCTATAAAGGCAAAATGCAATTAAAACTTCCACCCATCCATCCATCCATCCATTATCTAAGACTTATTTTGTAGAGCTAAACCCAGCTGACACTGGGTGAGGTCAGGTACACCCTGGACAGGTCGCCAGCCTATCACAGGGCTGACACACAGAGACAGACACCTTTCACACTCAACCCTATGGACAATTCAGAATCGCCACTCAACCAAATCTGCATATGTCTTTGGACATGTATGCAACTTAGCTTAATGAGGAGAGGTGCTGTCAAATGCCATTTTTATACAGAGATCGCAGCAAACTGCTGTTGCGTTGACCCTTTTTCAAGGTGGATTTTTTGACTTACCCTGAACTCAAAAAAGCCAGCAAACTGCCATCTCTGTATTCATTTCCATCATCATAAAGCCAACCAACAGGTTATCTGTGACCTTAAAATATTTTCACCCAGAGAGTTTTCTGAATCAAACAAACTCCCATTCAGAGCATTTCAAACCCCCTACATGCCTCTTTGCTCATGCAACTGTGGGACTAACCAACTGAATTTTTAGCATGCACTTCAGGACTTGAACATTTAAACTTTATGACTAAGTATTCAGTTGTTCCGCCAGTTTCTTCTTCATTACTAATCAACAAATAAGCACTGAGAATTCTGTTTTAATTTTCTTTCGGGCGACTAGATCATTGGGTGAACGAAACGCTGTTATATTTTTGTGACTTGCTGACTTATTTGTGAATTGGTAACTTTTATTTCCAGCCATCTTGCAGAAATACCTTTAGGTCCCCAATCTGCATTGCAGTAGACTTTCTGTCGGACTCTTCATTCTCTCTATACAGCTGCTTTCTGGCGGACACAACCTGCGGCTGCCCTGCAATGTATACGGAGATACAACAGAGGGCGAAACCGTGGTCACTATTCGGCAGGATACTCCGACTGACAGAACCTGATTTCTTATACTGGACTCATTATTTGGCATGTCTCTGTGGAAATTTTCCCACTGATAATCTTTTCCATCCACACTCACCGCACAGACGTCGATTCGACACACAAAATGACAGCCGAAAAGTCACCCCCAACATCTCGGTGCCACAAAAAGCAAACGTCTGTTGTTACTTACTTGCTAACACTAGCCAGCTAGCGGCTAAAATGTAAGCTCTGTAAAAGTGCTTCGAGCACTAAATTATGCTCAAACTTCAAGCGTACGATATTTCAAGGGAGATACAGTAAAATAAAAGAGACAAGTATAGGAATAGCTGATTTTATATATTTAAAACTCACCTTTGTTTCGCAGTTCCACGCAAGGGATAAACGATTTTTGACAAGAGTTGTCACTGCACTTCCGGGTTACTGTGACGTATACCGACGCTTATTAAGCGCCTGGCCATGCCTGGATTGTTTTGGTTTTAGATACTGGATGTTACACTGGGAAATAAATAGTTTTCTTCCTTTAACCGTCTCCCATCAAACCCAGGACACGTATTGTCAAAACTGCAGCTCGTTTACATTGTCAAGAATACTCGAAGTAGAGTAAATTACGATATGATTTGACAAAACATTAATGATCAACAGGAGGAAAACTGGAGAGCAGTAGCAGAAAAGTTATTCTCCAAAGTAGCAATATCACTTTATCAGAACACCTAATTATAAATCTTGCATTCAAACTTTTTTCAGTAAAGTATGATCAAAATATAAAAATACTCATTATGAAACAATATGGACCATATCCGAGGTATATTATTATATGTAGGCCTATTATATAATTATATTTTTAAAATACATTACTGTGTCAAAAGCATTTTATTTTTGTTGCTAGAAAAGGTGAAGCTAAGTTTATATTATGTATAGAATGTAGTTATTATAGCAACCTTATACTTTTGATAAATACAGTACGTAAACAGGCCTACTGGACTCAGAAGAGCTTTGTTTGAAATAACTGTCCATATTGTGTGTTTTCACTTGTTCCTAATTAGTCTCTCATTACTGAGCATAAAATATTTGTTTATTCTTCATATTACAGCTACACAACATGTTGACATTACAGTAAAATGACAGTAACACCAGTGAACCTATTTGAATGCAAACAGCAGACCAGCTGTGCTAAAAAAATTAATAGAACCTGCATTTTAGACTTTCTTTGATAATTTTCTGTAATATTTTGCATAGTGTGCTGTAGTTTTTTTGCATAATATATATGCAGAGTAGTGTCAGTGTGGCTCTGCTGTTGCAGAAACTTTGGAAAGGGGTCAAACAGCCTCACTTCATCTGAAGTGTGAAATTCAGCTGCAGTTTTTGAACCAACAGCAGCACCTGAGACCCCTGGTTCACTAGCAAAAATGTCATTGAAAGAAACGCAAAATGATCAAAAATGGCTTTGTTGTGGCGAGAGAGGTGGGTGGCTTTTACATGTCAGTGTCCATGGGCTCACTATGTCATAATCTATTCATGATTACTGACAGTTTATCATATAATACCCTGCTTAACACAACATACTCTATATATGTGAGAGTGTAGTACATACTGTAGGCATATGAATGTAATCGTATGTGATGTTTGGCATATGTCTATATGATTTAATGACATCAAAAAATGAAAATAAAAAAGATTTAATGATTAACTAAAAATTAGTAATCAAAAAGATTTAATGATTAACTAAAAATTAGTAATCATAACACTTCATTTATCTTGATGTGTACATTAGTATGTGTAAAAATATGACACTTCTTTTTATGTGGTGGAAGAAATGCAGCCAGACATCAAGGTCAAAGCTATATCCAAAAGTCACAATAATCCTGTCTTTATTGCAGAGTGCTGTATCTATTTCCTATGGCGCTGAGTGCTTGGTGATTTACAGCATGCAGACTTTTTTGTTTGTCACCAGTAATTGTGTCACTTTATGCCCAGAATTATGACCAACATAGTCATACATTTTGGAATTTTTATTCCAATGCAAACCTTATTAAATGCAGGACCCTTGCCATATGTACAATTTCTGTGAATTATTACCCTCAGGAAAGTGGGCCATCACAGCAGGAAATAGATGCATGGACACAGAAAACAATGTAACAAGCAATTAAAAATGTACTAAAAATATTGCAAAGTATAAATTAGAGTGTAGTGTCTGTACAGATTTGCAGTTTTACTGGGTTGATGGTGATGTGAAAAGATGTGTACTAATATGATTATGATGTTGATGCCAGCTTTTAAATTGGCTATGAAAAGAATGGTGTGCAGATTTGTTTATGCTTCACATGTGAGTAGGCAGGGTACAGATATTAAGTCACCACATGTGGGAAGCTGCCCATGTAGGGTATCTAGGCAATTTCACAACGTTATAAGAATATTTTAATGTGATTTTCTCTTTTGAAGATTTAAATCACATTCACCCAACTTCCACAAAAGCTCTTGGGATACACTACGAATTTGCTGTGATGCTCATCCAAAAGGTTATCTGGTGGGATATTTAGTTTAAGGCAAAGCAAATTAGGAAAATAAAAAATGAAGAGGAATCTGGAAATTGAATAAAGCAGCTAAAAGAAAAGTTGTTCTGACACCTGCATTGTTTTCTTCTTAGTAATGTTTTATCTCTTGAGGAACACAATTCTGCTGGGACAATAGTCATAAGATCTTTTCATGGTGGAAAACACCCCAGTTTATGTGAAACAGTTCCCACATTTTGAATGTTGATATTCTATACAGCTACTCTGAATAACACATTCTTCGCTCTTTGCTGTTGTTTAAAGTACAGTGCATCCCTACATGATTCATAAGGTGGAATTTTTCTAGCCAACGGGATGTTGTAGTTCATGAAATTGTATTACTGTGTGTGACAAGCTTACTCCACAGGTCTGGCACCATGTTCAGCTGTGGTTCAACTCTGGAGTTTAATGCAATTATAAATAAATAAGCATGTGGTCGGGAAGAAGACAGGGCCCTATGGGGACAAGCTGAGAGAGAATAGAGGAAGTTTAATTAAAGCTGCAAACCACACTCCCACACACAGAGACACACACGGTTACAGTATATAGGCAAGCCAATACACTTGTATATGTTTGTGTGCACTTCACTTCCCATTATGCATTCTTGGATGTACATGTGTGTCAGAACTACAACTGTACAAAGAGGAAATTGCACGAGAGAGGCAAACCAGTACAGAAGGATGGAAATGTGAAGGTAGAGTAATCCTATGTTGTGTTCAGATAAGGTTCTCTGAATTTCTTCTTAACACAGTTTTTGGTGTGTTACCTTCATGATGACAGAGAGGGAAGTATTTTGTATTCCCCAGTACTTCACATTCAGTAACCTGGCTACTATACTGTAGCCACAGTAAAATTATTTGGTTTATGCTGCTCTGTTTTTGTTACATTATTTTCGGCAAAATTATTGAACCGCCAGTCTCACTGTAATTACCTAAGGGGTGCAGACAAAGGCAGAGCCAGTAAAAGGCTGATGAGGGAGTATTGAATTTGCACTTCAATTAGAGTGCTTATAAAGTGTGGATTACACAAGGACTCCGGGGCCACAGCTCTCACTCAATTACCACAATGCACTATGGGAGGACGGACAGTGGGCAGCAGGGGTGGACAGTGAAGTCACCAGGTGAACAGAGCAAGGTGGTGGAAGAGGGTTGGAGGAGTAGGAGATGTCAAGTGTGGAGCCAAGTCCTTAAACAAGATGGATCCATGCAAAGACAAGGCCAGAGAAAATAATTAAATGGGGAGAAAGCAGTGGAGGGAGATCCATCCATGTATGTCTCCCTCTCCAGGTTCTGGCCTTGGATTCAACAAGGACATCTGAAAGCATGCAGACATCTGAGTTATTAAACTCCCCCGGTGCAGCAAAGCGTACAGTAGCACTACACTGATTTGAAATGCCTGTGCATGTGCATTCATTTCCATTTTCTGTGTTATTTAAACAATTCTCCTTCAGCTTGAAGGGGGTATATCTGTTCATAAGGAGCATTAAAAAAAACTTCCTCAGTATGTCTTGAGTCCCTGAGTAAATTCTCAAATGGATTATTGAGCCAATGAATGAAAATCACCGGCCATTTAGAGCGGATTTGTCTGCAAAGCACCAAAAAACGACAGCTCGTCTTTCTGCAGGCTTAGCTCCTCAGTTCTAAGAAGGAGATGCTTGAAGGGCATGCTTTTAAAGTAAACAAACCAAGCCAAAAAGGCCATTTTTCATTTTGATTGCTTGGCTGAATGTACACAGACGATATGAGATGACATGATTCTGAACAATTAATTGTTACAGACTTTTATGAAAGGTTCTTAGTGTTTAATTGCTGGTCATGATGTTTGCTTGGGGCACAGCAAGGGTTCAGAGATTTCAAAGAGAAAATCCGCAGAGCAAAACCATAAGGGTAAAGGTTTTTTTTAATCTTCTGTCAAACTGAAATCCTTTCTACAGTTTAATAAGTTACATAAGGAGGCTGCACAAATACAGCGTGACAATGTTAGACTGACATAAGGGGAGGTTACCTGAATTCAATTTGACAGTGTTATAAGATGTAACTGGCAGTTAAATGAATGCAAAGCTCATGATAATTGGATATGTGGATGAACAAATAAAGGAAAACCTAATAACTTGCCGCGAAAGGTGATTTTATTTATTCACGTACCTTTAGTCTTCCAGACTCCAGCACTTTTTCTGACTGTTTAGATCATCTCCTTCCCTTCTGTGTTTCTCTCCTTCACTCTCCCTTCCTCTCTCTTTGCTACTGTCAACAAAGAACGTGTAGGCTTCCCACAGGCCCTAAAGGAATCTCTCACACTGCACTCACATAATCACTTCAGACCCGACTGTTTAGGCCAACATCTCCACTGGGACTTACCAGCCGCTCACTGCAGGCCAAATCAGACCACAGAGGGAAAAAAAACTGCAACAGTGAAACAAAGAAGTGGACTCGTCTTTTGGCGGCTGAACATTATACTCTTCTCATTCAGTAATGGGATAATTTGGTGCCTTCCCCGTATGAAAACAATAGACTTTATGAGACTTCCTTTGAACACATACTCTACACCCACACAACATGTATGAAAGAGCACATGTCATGTGTATGTTCGACTGGCAGGTCAAGCATGATTCCTTGTCAACCATAAGCCCGGTTGAAATTTCATCATGCTTTGAAAAGACTAAATGAGATTCAGAGTGTCATCTACTTATGTCGAAGAAGCTGGATTTAATGACATGTTTAATGACTCCTTACACTGGCAAATGGGCTTTATTTGAAATCTCCAGCGCTGTCAGGAAGAAGCCTAACTCTCCTCCAATTAGAGGCATCCTTTGGAAGATAGAGTCACTGTTTCAAATGTGGATCTTTTTTTCCTGAGATAGAGGAAGAAGAGCTATTGATGATT